GGGGAACGCAAACGCAACCAACCCCAATTGAGGTGACGACACGTAATACAGGAGTCCACCAACAGGCGACGGCCAGTAGGCCAAGGCAGCGAAAGAAGAAAAAAATAGATCGGCCCAAGGCCAATTAATGCCGCAGTCTATTGAAAAAAATGCTGATCGATTTTTTTACTTGACGCTTTGACAATGGAGAGCAGCCCCAGCTCTTCGAAACGTCAGCCAGAAAAGTCCTCCGATCCGGTGAGCAATTCATTCTCCTCAGAGCGCATTTATGTCGTGACCGCCAATGCTTAGTTGGGGTCGAAGATAGTCGCGGGCAAACATAACTGAGAATTTGTTCTGAGAAAGGGAAAGACGTCATGCACATCACTATTGGACAAATGCCCGAAGATCGTTTTTTAGAAAATTCAAGCACGTGTCGCTATCCGCCGGTTTATATAGTAAGTAATTTTCAGATCATTAGCACAGGTGAATGGCCAGTCATTTTGAAATAAATCTGATACATCCTTGACAAAATGCAAAATAATATCAGACCAAACACACTACCCTGGATCATTCCACTCCTCAAACATATGTGTTTGAAGTCAAAGTTGGAATCGAGAGAGGTAAAGCACACTCATCACCATCAAAATACTTCGTGAAACCTAAAAAGACTGCATAGAGGGTAAAACCACTGTCCCTAAATCGTAAAATAATATCCAAGAAACAGTGTTGGCAGGTATTACATGAACGACATTTGGGAACCGATACTGATCCGCACTCATCAAGTTATCCTCTGTTAGATGACGCATCCTATGATCTTTGGTCAGGACCCCTAAGATTTTCACTTGATGGAAAGTCGCCAAATGACGGGGCTTGGCTGGGCTTGGGGAAAAGTGAAACTTACGATTCCTTCCTCCAGCTAGACGGGTTTCACTTTCGTGAGCGAGATTAAATATCTTACACAGGAGGGGCGGAAAATTTTTACCTGCTGCGGCTTTTTAACTGTTGGCCGCGCACAATTTGGCCCAAGGTTTTATAGCTTGGTGCTGAGACCAGGGTGATCAAGAAGGCCCTGGCTCCAGGTGGAGGCTCACCATTGCACTCCGGTGAGCTGAAGCCTGCGACGGACCCTAAGTGGGTTCGCTCGGGTGCACAGTTTTTGATAGTGGGGAGGCCTTCGTGCTATCCCTTGAAAAAATGCCATCATGGATGCCCTGGAGGAAGAAAGACAGTGATGCCATAGAGCAGGTGCAACGACGGCCACAAAACTGGTGGACGGTCTCAGGACTCTGTCATACCCAGAAAGACTGATCCAGTTAAATTTGTTCCCCCTATCCTATAGAAGAATGAGGTGTGACCTATTATGGACATTCCGCATTATCCACGGGTATGAATGTTCGCTCAAAACTGACGACTTCTTTGAATTTACGACCACGAGTCACCTGCGCGGTCACCCTTACAAAGTCAAGCGGGAGCGTACGCGCCTAGACAATCGGAAGTTTTCCTTCAGCCAGCGTGTTGTTCGGCCATGGAACTCACTCCCAAGTGAAATAGTGACATCTGATACAATCGCTGTATTCAAAAGGCAGCTGGATCGTTTGATATTTGATAAACGACGACTTTCACAACAGGACTACCTGCGGCCAGCCATAAATTTCATTTCTTGATTTCATCCCTACTTAACACACCCCTGACTCTTAATGAGATGCACCCTCTCAAACTGTGCAAATGACTGCACTTTATGCTGATTTTACATAACTGCACTTAAAATTTCATGTGTACACTGAGAAGACCGCCTGCCGCAGCCTTAGCAGTCCCGCATTGTGAAAGTTTCCCGTGAACAAATATGTTACTGACAAAATTTTAGTAAGATGTACATTTAACATTTATATTTTATGTACCGTTTTCAATAGGGTCATCAAGGGCATTGCCTATTACCCTAAAATACAATACAATACAATATAAAAGCGTCGGATGATTACGGTTACGTACAGGAAGGAATAACGAACAGTGTCGACAATGGCACAGGTCGAAACTTGAAAGTTCAGAACCAGGTCCGTCAAACTTTAAAATAGATTTTGGACAAGGAAACACTGAAACTGTCAGCGGTCAACATGGCGTCTACTACAGGATTTTCAAGAGCTTCCCGAACTATGGAATTCTACATTTTTCTATGGGCTGTTATTGCACGAGAAAATAGTTTCGCCCCGTTTAACAAGCGGTTTTCGGCAACCATAACCTTTTCGACAAGTCAGTCTTCCGTCAGGCTAATTGCCCGCTCAAAATACAGCGAGTCAAAGGTATAACGGAAGCGTCGCATTGCAAATGAGCACTTCTTGTAGTGTTCAGTTAATAAGTAACACAATAGCAAGAAATGACAAATATCGTTCTGTTTGTCCCGACGCAGAATGTCCACTTAAGAGATACATCGCGTACGAATAACCAGTCGCTCTAAGTGCCTGCTGCA